ACTGGAGGTGAGGGGGGGTAGAAATGACTAATATATCAATAGTTGTTAAACCACCATTCAAATGAAAAATCCTTAGAGGCCAATACTGTGGCACATTATTAAACTGCTATAGAAAGTATCCAGAGGTGCAAAGCAAGGGTTGGGATATGGAGATGGAGAAAGGGTCATTGTAGAGAATCACTAACCCTTTCAAATCAACTTAATCACACCCTAGAAGTCATTGACTTAACAATAAATAACAATTCCACAAAGGAATGAACCCCTCCCCAGAGCAACACTATATCCATACAGCTTCTGCACTAGCAGAACACAGCTCTCCTGCCCACCTGTCAGTGACTATGCAGGCCTTTCTTTTCACAGCCCTTTTCCCTTTGCAAAATAGCAGGAGCAGCTCTCCTGCCCATCTATGACAATGTAGGTGTCTTTTCTTTTCCTATTAAACCTGTCCTTTGAAAATGTTACTTCACCTGCTAGTATCTGTACAAATGTGCAAATGTCTCTTAAGAAAGCTCACCATGTGTTGCTGAAAAGAGAATTCTGGTAAAACTTCTCAGAGGTAACATGAGGACCCTGTTCTCTGAATCCAACCTCTCCAATTTGACATCAAACACTTTGCAATCAAGAGACCTTTGGGAGCCTGACTTCAACATTGCTAGCAAGAGCAGATTGCCCATAAGAATGCAGGTTGTTAAATAGTTTTGAGTATCATACCTACCCCTAAGGTGTAGCCCCATAATTCTCCCATCACCAGCCTAAGCAACATACAAAAAGGTAGAAATAGTGGGAAATGCAGATGGAAAATGAAAAAGGAGGAAAGCTATACACATTTTAATTAGTAAGATACAATGACATAGTCTTTTGCTGCTTCAGCAATAAACAGTAATCATGTAAAATGGAAGTTGGCCAAGAATTTTGTGAAAAACCCCTTTAACTGGAAATGATGCAAAACTCAAACATGATGCATCTCAGATATGCAAACATTTATTGATAACTACCGAATGGCAGACACTGTTCTGGGTACCAAGGACTTAAATATAAAGTGACTTTTTGTTATGTACAAACTAAATCCAGACTAAATCAACTGTTGTGCAGAAGCCTAAAGTATGTGCCTAGAATAATAACATCGTTGCTGTTTATGTAAATATAGGTTATGAAGGGAAATAATCCAGCAAGTGAAATGAGGAAAACCTGATAAAAGTAGAGATTCTACTTCATTTGCCATGATATATTACATTGTGCTAGATTTTCCAAGTTTGTATCAAAAAATAAAAGTGAACACTTTGAGTGGGCCCTCCCTGGTGGCGCAGTGGGTTAAAGCACAGCACGAAGAAGCTAAAGCCACTTCAGCATGAGTTCCATCCCCATTCCGAAGGTGACCCACATGGTGCCCCAGACCTCTCCTGACC